GAGATATATGCTGCAGAAACATCAGAGCCAGACCAGCCGCTAGATCGTGTCATGACTGGCTGGGATCCAATACCTCCAATGGCCGGCATTAAGCGTCAACACTCACCAGAAGGAAGCATCACAAGGTCACAGCAAGGGAGAACCATCAAGCGTGTAGACTACTATCAACTACATCACGGCATGACAGCACAAGCAACCACTGATCCGCAAGCATGGGATCAAGCCATGACTTGCACAGAAGCGTCGCAGTGGAAAAGGGCAGCAGATGAAGAATTCAGCTCACTAAAGCAAAAGGGCGCAATTAAGATAATTCCACTGTCACAACTACCCCAAGGCTGCAAACCAATGAAGTGCAAATGGGTATTTAAGAAGAAATACCTAGCTAACGGCGATATTGAAAAATATAAGGCTCGATGCACAGCTAAAGGCTTCACCTAGCGACAAGGCATTGATTACCATGAGACGTTCGCTCCCACACCTAGACCAGAAACAGGACGCATTATTCTTGTCCTCGCACACCAACTAGGTTGGCACAGAAAACAAGGCGACGTACCAACAGCATTTCTCAATCCGGACCTCAACATTGACTTATTCATGGAGTTACCCAAAGGCTACAAAAAAGATGGCTATATCATCCGACTCCATAAAGGCCTTTATGGACTCAAGCAAGCAGCAGCACTGTGGTATGACGATGCAAAGACAACACTCGCACAGCTAGGTCTATTACCTACTACATCCGACGTCTGTCTATACACCAACCACAAAAGAGACCTCTTTGTACTGATGCATGTTGATGACTTTCAGGTTGTAAGTCCACATCAGTCAAGGATCGACAAACTCATGAAGGCCCTACACGATAAGTACAAACTTAAGACAGTAAGCACGAACATGTTCCTCGGCATAGAGATCAGTCATCCATATCCTGAGATGATCAGATTCTCCCAAGGACACTACGCACGAACACTTCTTAATAGACATAATCTTTCGGACTGCAAGAAAGCAGGCTCACCAATCGAGCGCATGATGGAGGGAAATAAGGAGAAATGCATGTCGCATGAAATGACAGAATAAAACTCCCTCATAGGAGGACTGCAATACCTTTCCAACAACACCAGACCTGACATCTCATTTGCAGTCAATCACCTTGCACGATTCCTGACCAACCCATCACAGGAACACATGCAAGCTGCACGTCAAGTACTCTGATATATCGCGAATAATCCAGATCAGGGCATTGAATTCACCCGACATGATCAGCAACCAATCCTTGAAGCATACACAGACGCAGACTTCGCAGCCGACCCATCTACAAGCCGCTCAACATCTGGAATGCTGATCAGGCTTGCATCAGGTCCCATCTGCTGGAAGTCACACTTACAACGAGAGGTCGTACTTTCCACCACGGAAGCAGAATACCTAGCAGCAACAGAGACATGTCGTCAACTCCAATGGGTTAAGTCACTAATCCAAGAGCTCGGCCTTTCTGACCATGTTGAAGGCGCAACACGCACCAACCTACATATCGACAACCAAGCAGCCATATCACTCATCAAGAATCATGACAATCATAGACGATCCAAGCACATAGCCCTCAGGAACTTCTTCTGCCGCGAGCAGCATGAAACCGGAAAGATAACTGTTAGCTATGTGCCATCAAACCTTCAACTTGCTGACGCACTAACGAAGGTGAAATCCCCTGTGGCAATTCATTGAGTAGCTGAGAAAAGGTCGTCACCGACAGAGGGAGTGTTGTGCTCAGCTAAGGTAGCCCTGGCAGGTAGCGCATGGAGGGTGAGTGTGTCATCAAGGTACCTCAGGCATGGACAACTCACATGACATGTTTGGCGCATTTGTTCAGGCAAGGCACACTGCATGTTACGGTTTGACCGTTGTTTGAGCTTAGGTGGATACCTAAGCCTGATACTAAGAATCCTTACAATGAGGCTGTATGGGGGTGGAGATGAAGCTGAACAAAACGGCACTACTACTCAGGAGGCTGAAGCGTCATTACAACTTAGTGACACCTGGAAATACGTGGCTGGGTAGAAGTATTGAGCCTGAGGACAAGTCACTAGTCTGTAGATTCACGAGGAGGATTAACTCCTATAAATACCTGTTAGTAGTAGCTAGAGTTAGCTTTTCTCCTCATATAGTTTATTAAATCGATTTATTCATCACCAACTTGGTTTCCGTCACACTGCATGAGTAAGCATGATGGGCATATGATTCGCTGGTAAGCGAGTCCATGGGGTATAAAAGGGGAGTATTTCCCACTGTAAATTAGAATATACATCCATAGAGTCATCTACAATCCACTCTCGATAAAACATCATATCTTAGCCGTCAAACGCAAGTGTACGTTCCCCATTTCATATACCAAGTAAAACGGATTCCTACCGAGTCCACCGGTCTCGTGCCACAAGGCGCTGGGCTAGAGCCCGGGACTTGATGTTAGAAATTGTCAAAGATTTCTAGGAGGAAATATCTCAAAGAACAAGTGGACAACTCCCGAAAAGAATTTATTGACAGTTGTATAGGATATCGCACTCTCTTCTCAATATGAATTAATATTAAATAATATTCCGTTAACTTAGTTTAACATATACAGATGAGCCTATTCTTAAAGACAGATTCCCAAGGCTTTAGTAATCCCGAACTCCTAGTGATCTAGCAACAACCAGCCACTCAATTATCGCAAGGTAGCATTTCCTAGCCACTGCATTTCAGATATCACTGAACCTCTTGTCTACTAGCTGAGCTTAAACATATGCAATCGAATCAATTCAATTGATCTTGATGATCATAGCTAAAAATCTAAACCTTCATACACACTGAGTCTAAATTTCCAACACTTCATTAAATTATCATCATCATCACAGAGCCTAAGTCACAGCATAAACAATTGTGATGCCATCTAGCTATAGAAAACCCCTCAATAACTTCCACGTGCCCACGCCATACAGCCGCTCGTGTATTTATTAGTGTTGTGATGGGCATGTTATACAGCTAGGATACTTGCATGTACATAACGTGATTAGATGTTTACGCTGTTTGTGTTGTTCCTGTATTGTTTGGGATATCTGCAGGAGGAAGCTCATGTGGTCAGGAGCCGACTAGCGGCCGCACATGAGTATAAGTAGCGAGTGCTCGGCACACAATTAGCATAGTGTAATTATAATATAGTGAACCTCAGATACACCTTCAACCACAACCTGAACTCATCAATCTACATACTCGTACAAAGTCAGCATGCATAGTGACACTAACCTAAGCTCATAACCACAATAATTAGGTAGACTGGCACTACTCTATAACCCATTTCAACCTCTTAACTTAACACAAGATCTGTTTGGGATCCAGGGGGAAATGGAGGCCCTGATCTATGACAGGCTAAGTATATCTGTAAATAAAAAGGTGAAACAATGAAAACTGATTGATTTCTATTCTTCCTGGAATTCTAGGATCATTTACACTGATCATGATTGACGTGATCTCTCGAACTCTAAATATAAACATGCGCTAGGAGTATACAACCTGCAGCTCTAAATAGAGAATACTTGCATTGACCGAAGCAAACAACCCACGCTGCCATGGTTGCATAATGCGGTGGTACATCATCTGTGCTGGTCTCTCAAGTAAGGTCTGGATAGCTAGTACACATAACCCACTCGAGACTGAAGTTCGCTGGTTCAAATCCAGCAAAACACAACCCCGGTTTCTTGTGGTGCAAGTTTACATGGATGACGAAGGCATGCTTGGATAATCAAAAGTTTTGAATTTCCCTTTGGTGGGTACTGATAGAGGAGGTTCGACTCTTTGTGTAAGCGAACGTACCTCATAATGGTATTTGCAAATGAAATCCATGTTATGAGTGCCTCTAATGTCAAAAGGTTCATTCATCATGTATAAGTAGCATCGGTTATATATCATAGCTAGATGGTTAATTAAATATTAAATGATTTAAAAAAACCTAGATAAAAAACCTAGATAAAAAAACTAGGAACGTATGGATAGTCTCTAATTTTGAACAGAAACATATTCTTGTCAAGATTCTTCGGTTAGAACTCTTAGCCCTCGATAGGAACCTTGACGAAATGGAGGGCCCGTGCGTCCACAACACTCTGTGTCTCGATTCCAACCCATTATCTTTTGTAACAATGCCCTCTCTCCGAGTTACTGTACCTTTGAGTCATTGATTCGTACTTACACCCGCCAACTCTCCATCAAATAGACTTGACTTATGAATTATTTTAAAAACTGAACCTCTGATGGCATGCTGAACACATTTGTCCCTTAGTGCGGCCGTTTTCTTTTAGAACTGTAGTTCCTCCACGTGATGTATTGATCTTTTTCGATACATCGCTATCTTACATATTGTGGCCCAAGTTTTCGCCAGTATCTTTTGGAATTTCCAACATTATTTACGTCCCTTCTCCCCTCAAATTTTCATACTCAATAGGATTCTGAATTCCACGGCTTATATCAAGTCGTGTGTAGTGTCTTCTTGGGACACCGACTGTACAAATACTTCGACGTCGTTGCTCCAAATTCGGCGAATAGCATAAGTTACCCATACTTGTATTTTAGCCTCTGAGAGGAATTCTGTCGTCTATTATCTTTTGCTTCATCGACTCTTGTGCGAACTAAGCTCTTTGACATTGGAAATGCCATGAGCGACAAGTATTATGATTATAATTGGGCCTAATCTGGCGTTATAACGGTTTTACTCGGTACGTGTATTCAATGAGCAAAATCTCTGAATAATTTAAGAGCTTATTCATCAGGGGATTCACTGTACAGCTGCGTTTGCTCTAATCAGCCGAGTAATTCTGCTAAATGTCTTCATAAATTATTTAAATCCTACGTTAGTCAGACAATGAAAAGTAGTAAAGTGACTGTGGGCTTAGGAGCCATTTAAAAACCTTGAAGCTGGGCAAGAAATTATTGCATCAATAGTATCATTCACCCTTTTGAAGGATGTACAGTATTTTTCTCCACAACTATTTCTCAATCTCTTCTATTATAAGACTTTGAATGCCTTCGGGGCCTGCAGCACTTGAATATCTCTTAATGGGCTTACCATCTTTTGACACGAGCCACTTTTCAAAATTCCACTTGACCCTCTTCATTCCCATTATGCCAGGTTTCTCCACTTTTAACCACTCAAAAAGCGGCTCTGCCGTATCACCATTCACATTAACTTTGCCCAACATTGGAAACGTGACGCCATACTATCAATGGGAGTATTCTCGTTAGCATTTGCAACGATATACATGGTTGGATAGAGCTCCACAGCAGAAAAAGCTAGACTCACATTGATGCGACAGAAGTTCTGTATCTCATCATTTGATCCTGGATCTTGTCCACCGAATTGGTTGCAAGGAAACCCCAGAATCGTGAATTTCCCCGGGTGTGTTGATGAAACTGACTTGTATAACTTTTCTAGTCCTTCAAACTGAGGAGTGAAGCCACATCTCGATGCCGTATTCACGATTAAGACTACTTGACCTTTGTACTTTTCAAGTGGAACTGGTTCGCCATTCTCTGTTCGCTTCGTGTTAGCAGGCATCTCCAATCGTTTTGTTACTTTCTGCCTCTAGTTTATCTGGCCATCGAGTATGACGGAGACTACATGTCAGATATGAAGTGGGCTTCTTACTATCTTTTGGCTTAAAATCGTATAGAGTAGTTGTCGGTCCCATGGTGCTATAATGAGTCTTAAGCTGTAACGCAACTAAAGCTTTGGAACCTATTAATGGAATAGAGGGGAAAGTGCGAGCGCAAGTTGAAGAGGATACGTATCGACATGGTGTGATTAGGTGGGTTGGAGAGCGCATGGTAAGAACCGATGGGGAGTAAAGTATGTGGTACCTGGGGAACGTCGGAATCCACAATCAAGCAAGGGCAGCGCAGCGCATAGCTTTGTCATTGCTGGGTGGAGTAAGGAAAGACCTAGCAACGTATCTATCTCTAGCCCACCACTGAGCTCAGCCCTAATCCACGATCTACAGGAAATTGATGAACAAATTAGCGTAAAGTAATCACAAATTGTGTGACTAAAATCTCTGGAAGTTGTCAGCGACACAATTCCCTGATATGATCTACAGGTTGCTAATACAGACTATCAGGTAGAGGACATCAGCTTAAATTACTGACAGAGGCACTATAGCCGCTAATGGATTATGTGAAACAATCTATACATGGGACGAGGATCCGCCAGAGTTGGCTCTTTTAAAATGAGCGCGTCATCGTTAATTTTTTTTTGATCCTAGACGAGTCGGAGAGCATGTAAGGATGTGCGTGTTTCACCCTTTTGAGGTTGGATGGTGCAGTGGCATACCATCCGGGCCGTTCTCCCAAGTAGATACTGGGTAGCGTGAACACCTACCCCATTCGAGACAGGAGAAAGCTGGTTCGAATCCAGACAGGCCCACACACCACTCTCTCTTGCGGTAATATTGCACTTGTGAGATGATGAAAGCACACTTGAATAGCCTCGGATTTTTCACGTTTTTTCCTGTGGTAGGTATGCACGGAAGAGGTTATACGCCGTAAGGGTCAACCTCGAGTGGTATCTGCAAACAAAATCTGAGTGTGAGCGTTCTAGAGGTCAAATTGAATCATTCTACTTCAAGTACATATCTTCCGATAAAACCTGCATGGGCCTCATGGCGCCAAATCAGGATAATGAATAATAATAATAATTATTATTATTATTTATCCTTTTAATCATTATATACCAACTAGCAAATAAACTTTTATTATCGTAAACATTTGCAAATGAATAGCTTTAGTGCTCATAGACCCTACGCCTCCAGGAATACCAACCAAATATGTCATTGTCTAGCTGCACTCATAACACGCCATGATAATCGTGCTAAATACCAAGAGCGCTTCAGTCTCAAGGTTGAAGATCTGAATGCGTATTGGGCGAGAGAAAACGCATTGGTGTTTCTGATTATCGACTTGATCTGAGACATGGGTAAGCCAGAGGTAGATGATTTAAAAGATGAATAAAATGATGGAAAAGATTAGTTCATAGAGATTCTTCCAATTTCTGATTATAGATAACCGTAGAATTCTACGGAAAATCAGGCCAAGCCAGAGCTTCACTCCTTAATTTTTTTCTTTTTTATATGAGCTGTGATGATATAATATGAAGATATCGATGTTAATTGCGGAACTCTTACGAATGGCCTTCTTCGGGATTATTGTGGGTCAGCGGAGACTACCACCCCAGCCTCAACCCTTGATATTTCACTGATACGAAAGCAAGGAAAACGTTAGCAGTAGTGGTGTGAAGATTTGCATACAGTAGTTCCACCACGGGGCAGAAGAATCTGCGGCAATCAGACAAGTACTTGGGTTGTTGGCAATCACGTTTGAAGATCAGCCTCGACAACATGCCACTAAGCCATGCGACCTTAATAATCACGGCAGCTTGTGAAGAGGACAACACATGCGCACGCAATACATTGAGAAGTGTTTTTTTTATTATGTTAAAGTCCTAAGCTAAAGCTCTAGGTCCACTATAGGTACAGAACTGGTGGAGCCGGTGGGGATCACTGCTTACAGGCCCAACTCATTCCAACCACTGGACTCGCTACAGAAATAGTAGAAAGTAAAGTACGACGCAGATACCAAGTACTCCAACTCCTAGATCAAAATTCACTCCTTTTCCCCCTAAATTCAATTAGCTACAATCTTTCCCCTGAGAAACGACACTTCTCGCCTGTTCCCTTTCGTGTCACGCATTGCGGCAATGAATAGTTTGTCTGATCCCCGCTGAGAGCAATAAATGAGTTAGCAGACCGTTTATCAAAATAGCCGGTTGTCTCCGCTAATTTTTTGAAACTTTCGTGGCATTTGGGCCCGATAAGCCTTTTGATAACGTCAACGTGGCACATGGACTTTCTGAGCTTACGCGTGTATTTTGCGTGGTGGTGTCGCCGAATCAATTGGTGTTAGTATGCAGCAGAGAAGGTCCAGAATAAAACCAGTCAGTTAACGAATTCTTAAGATGAAAGCTCTTCTACATCTTGCCATTTACATAAGGGATTTTAATTAACGACGCTGATCATAACAGTCTCCGTTGCTTAGCAACCGTTTCCAATCTCCACCCTTGGTAGTCTCTATAGCTGACTAGACCCTTGATTCCATCTCTACCGTACTGGCGCAGACAGTACACACACAAGGGAATATTCCCGTAACAGGTGGCCACAGTGAATGAAGTGGGTTGAAGTAGTTTCCTTCCCGCAAGAGCACTACACAGGAGCGTATTGGTTGTTAGAACGACGATGGTATGCCGCAAATGAGAAGGTGTGTATGTATGTCTGAATTTCGTATCAGGCAGAAGCCCTACACTCATGAGGCATGATACGAGTGCGTGATCCCTAAAGACTCACTACTACCTATTTGTCCAGCTTTCTAGGCCGATTCAGGGCGTGTCCCTCACTGTCCATAAGAGCATAGCGTAAAGTTCAACAGTTGGAACTTACAACATGTAGCTAGTATCTTATTTGTAGATTCTAGGAGTCCTCAATAGTCATTGACTCAGTTAGGACTATAATACAAATCTAATCTAATCTAATCTAGGCCGATTGTTTACATGAAAAGAAGAGACAAGGAAAATTAGCGAGATAAAAACGCTCTGCGCCTTGCCGCTTTCATATACAACTGCTGTAGATATTCCAGTCCCTTAAATTGGAAAAGTGACAGTGTGGGTTTCAGACTAATTCGTAGTAAAAAATGGTTAACTGGGATTTGGGTGCTATACATTTCGACTTTAGTGATCACGTCATGAACTTGCGCGCAAAGTGCCACGTGGTTATAATGGCGGATCTCAGTGTCGTTAAGGAACAAGGGTACTCTAAGGTTGAACTGACATGGGACTCACTTTTTAATGTTGAGCTCTAGGAATTAATAATTTAGGAGCCACGAGGCGCTGGAAAAGGTCCAAGTCTATACTGGTTCTCTAAAACAATGATCATAGAGGAGTAGCTCTACAATGTGTTTGTGTAGGGGCTCACGATACAAAGGTATTTTATGGGGGCTAACTTGGCGGTCTCAGAACCCATAACAATGAGACCCTAGGCAACTGCTTTTATCGCATGCAACAGCCATCCCACAACTGAGGAAGTTCGGCATGCGCGTTTGAGAATTTCAACAGTAGCTCAGACGGCTTTCCCCTCCTTCTTCCATGCCTAGTTCTGCTGGCGCCTTTTAGCCTTGTCATCCGACATATATGCAGCTACATGACCTGATATTCGATGCGTGTTTTGTGTACAGATTGGGCGTCTGTTTTGGCCTCTAAGACACTCACGCTCTGGATTTTAGTTGCAATGCTACTGCTAGGATTGTTTGTTCTCTTGGCGTATTATGGCTAGATGGCAGAATACACATTTATGGTCTAAAAACCTGCAGCCCTAGACAGGCGAGGTCAAGCTACAGGGACCACATGAGGTGCGCATATTCATCTATATCTCCCTTAATTGTAATAGCAGAGGACGACTTGATCCAATCCACCATCTCCGTATCGGGTGCTGGGTACGCTCCGGAAACTCATTGGGTGGCGTTTCCTTCATGACCAAGGATTGATGATGAGTAGGAATTCGACCCTATCATCTGATCTGACCGTAGCTAGCTTCATGATAATGTCGATAGGAGGAAGCGCTGAAAGATGAAGATTATGTAGACGGCGAAAGCGATTCAGAATCATCTTCGAAGTGAGGACGTTGTCACTCAATCTCGGCTCTGCAGACTCAACAGTGAGAGCTGGAGGTTCGTAGGGAACACCACTGATAGATGTTTAGAATAGTCCCCAGACCAAAAACTTTGCATAAGCGGTCGAACCAACTGCTCAGCCATGTTGAATCTTACAGCACTCTGCTTCCAAGTAGGCTCAATCGTTATCTCTTTACTAGTTTGAGCCTCTACATTACCTCAACATTGCTTTACCAGGTGAAATCAAACTTGAGCTTGACCACTAGATTTTGTCGCAAATCTCTCGCTCCCAAGCAGCTCGGACTAGACCCTGATAATAATTTATATTCCGATTGTGTTGCGTTGCAGGGTAATCCTCTAGTGCTTCACATAGTTACGGTTAAGGATGTGAGAAACTTCGGCTTGAGTTCTAAATGATCTCTGAGCGTGACGCGTGCTAGACAGGCATGTGACTATGGTGGCGAAATGCACGGGAAACTTGATGTCGATTGTTCCTGCTAGAAGATGCTACGATGCGCTACTGCAGCCCCAATATCAGATCGATCTATGAAATAGACTGTGAATCCTATGTCTGGATGGAAAGCGAATATAGAAATAGGAGATTTCATCAGTAACTAGACCAAGAGGCCGAAGCTCTCTCATTTTTAGGCAAGATTTTCTGTGGAATTGTTTCGACCTAATTTCTTACAATGCAAACTCGTGGTTTCAGTTCCCTCGTCTTGGGACACAGACATTTATGATGTTAAGACATTCAGACAATCAATAATCTCGATGTGCGCTCTGAAAAAAAGAAAAGTTGACAAAGTACCATTGTTTGTCCCTGTGAGAACTATTTTATCTAGTTGTACCCAGTGACCGAGGCAGAGCTCATTGCAGAATTATATCAGCCTACTAGAAACTCGATACATGTCAAACAATGGGTATCCAGGACTTTTGAAATAACTGAGAAAAATCATTGGGAATTTTGTTGACAAATTATTTTGCATTAACTGTTTCTGGCCATGATAATTTGCGCACTGTGTGGTGATCGGGGGGCTCAAAACTCCAGGTTGAGATACTTTGCTATCCAATAAACATAACTCAGCACATGTGTCATTTGAACGCAAGGGGAAGATGGTCCCTTCTGGAACCAAGTGACTCGGCGTGAAGTTCAGATAATAGAAAGAGACATCAATATACTTTCATTTTACATTCATTACTTGATCTTCAGAGTCTAACAGTAAATGTAGTCGGAAGAAATTCAAAGCGTGTCATGGAGAAGAATATTTGACTTAAAAGACTCTTGTAGAACAATTAGTCGGCGGTTAATTCTCCTGACAGTAGATACCCTCGACTCTCGTACCCTTAGCTTCGTAGTCCTGTTTTCTGGAATAGCAGACTATCATCGCAGGCACCGCTCTGACCGCGATCTTTAATTCTGAGTAGGGGTAAAGAGGAGTTAGATGGCAGAGATCAACGAGGAATTTGGTAACAGGGGCGGAAATAGATATCACGAGTCATGAGGTGCCAGGAGCCTCATTCTTACGAGCCAAATTTTTTTCGGAAGGGTTGGCTACTTGTGAAGATGCCATGATGTTCCATGTTATGCGGCATCGTCGCAACGCTGAGTGTGAACGAATCCTGCTGCCATCTTATCTTAGCTGATGCTCCTCCATCCACTGCGACTCGCTCGGCCACCCAGGGCTTGATGGCGCTGGAGGTCGCAGTTGCTGCTGAGGGGCCGAGTGCCCGAGTTCCTCGATCCCGCGGCTCACGGCCTCGTTCCGGGCGTAGAGTCTTACACCGCGGACGTGAGTGTCTTTACCATTCTGGTGGTTCTCGAGTATTTGAAGCTGTAGCAAGAAGGCCTTGAGTGTCTGTCCATCCTCCCCCCCACCGACATCCTCAAGGGCTACATGGATCCAGCCGCGCGGTTGTTCGAAGCTAAGCTTCTGAAATGGAATCAAGTCATGATGTCCGGTGCCCGCGAGAAGACTGATGCGCGTCGGCGTATACGACTCGTCAGCCTCGAAGTCGAGGAAGATTTGGAGAGAAACGATGGACACGAGCCGTGTGAAGTGTATATTGAGGTAGTGCGGCTGGGGACCATCAGACCTGGCGATGAGTGAGTCTCACGGAAGGCCGGGGAGGTAAATGAGGGACAACTGACTGCCAGAACAGAGAGGTATCCTCATGTCTCAAGGCCGCTACTCCACAGCCAGGTTTGAAGCTACTGACTGTCCAGCTGGCCAGATTGCCAATCTCCTTGAGGCCAAGCGCACTTGCAGCGCGCGTCGGATCAGGATCCATGGGACCTGGAGGTTCATGCGTTAGCTGTGTTCAAGATATAGCAAGGCGAACCCGTGATGGTTGCAACGAGTGGCGTTCTTTGCCCGACACATACCTGGTGGCTCATGTCCTCCCACGTCGTCGGCGTCTTCACTATCACCCTCATCATCCCCTTCGAAACTGTCACCCTCGGCCGTCACGCCGGCTCTTTCTTGCTGGGCATGGAAGATCTGATTGCGTCGACGTTCATCGCGCTCAGCTGGTGCGAGAGGAGTGGGTACAACGCTACGGACAGGCCACGGCGATGAGGCGACCTCGTTGCGGCGGTCGGGCGAAGGATGGTGCGGTAGTGGATACCACTCGGTAGTGGGCATACGCAGGGGGCGTGAGGGAGGCGTTGAAGTCATGATCGATGGGTTCACGTTCGGGTGAAAAAGAAGTGATACACAAACGCACCATCTCCAACATAGTAGAAAGATTCGGAGTGAGAAACTACAACCCACGATCGGAATTGTGCCAAGACCATAATTTCTTTACCTGTTTCCTTTTGTCGCTATTGACTAAAATACTTTGAAATCGGTCGTTTGTATTTTTTTTGGAATGTAAAGATTCCGAACCGACTCTCTAAGTCCACCATGGATGCTGGACCGGTGCAGCCGGCGAGGATCTCCGCGTACAAGCCCACCTCATTCCGACCGCATGGACTCCAACAGAAATCGCAAAAGTCACAAAATCTGAAATCAAATACATATCAAAATTAGAAAAACATCATTTTTGTTTCGGATCCCGCGCTTGTCGCTCGTACCCATTCCCGCCGCATTTTCCAGATGAAATTTCCCGATCACCACTAAGACCGAAAGATGAGTTCGCAGGTATCCTGCTCAATGTTGGTGAAGCCTTAAAGGCCTCACCGAGGTTGTTGCGTCCTCAAAATACGTCTTCGTACCCCAGAGCTCCGAAGCCTGATCCCCCCGTCACGAAGGCGTCCATGTCACAGGCAAATGTTGCCTCTTTGGCTCTTTTAGCTGTAGCTGTAGCTATCATGCGAGCAGTTGCTCATAACTTCCATTGCCTGACTTGGCGAATTAGCTATTGACAGGTCTGGCAAGACAGTCCCGTTTAATCGATCGGTGATTTCTTCCACGGTTTCGACATCTAGTGAGGGCCTTTCACTCGGCTTCTGAGTGCACATTTGATCCGCAGTTTCTGCGAGCTAGAGCTTAGAAGTAACTACAGGTGGTATGAAAGCCAAGACAACGTTTTCATTGATCGATTTTTCGAAAAGGTCGGTAAAGATTTATCGCTCCAGAGTCGCCGAAGAATTGGAATCCAGCTCTAGGCGTGGATTTGAATGGCGAGATGACATACAAGATGTTAGATGTCGCGGAACATGGATACGTACGCTTTGATTTACTGTTCACTCGAGTCGTAAACTGCCCTACCTATACCTATGGTAGATTGTTTCTCCCCCCAATATGAAATTTTATATTATTATTGTTGGTACAAATGTCTTAACCTCACTTTCCAATGTTAGTCATAGATTAGTCATCGTTCATTATGAGTATTAGTATCTTTTGTAGAAAAGGAGAATAGACAAGATCCACCAACACAACCGCAGAAGCAAGACATACAGTTTACGTTCTTTGCACCGTGTCTAAGTATCCAGACAATTATACTGTCTGCACTTTGGTTAACAGGCCTTCCAGGGCTTGACCCACAATGTTTATCAGAACAAATTAAAGCATATTTCAATTTAAAATATATTGAATGCATCTAGAGTCTTTAGTTTGATTCTTGGTGTCCTACATAGTCTTAGAATCAATAGAGACTGTAAAATAAATCTAATATAACCTAACAGAGAGCCCAGTGAAAGTGTGCTTTTGATATACATTGAGATTGGAGGCACATGACATCAAGGCCATGACTCAGTCAGTGCATGCCGGGCTCTCACTAGCGTCGGCACGTCGGCTAGTTTTTCCTGACTAACCTTTTTTTGCATAAGATTTTAATTGCGTATGCATCAATCTAGCTATGACACAATATCAAAGCTAGAATTCCTGAATATTCATGAGAGAATCAATAAGATACCCCATTACCGATACCGTCCCCCCCGACTCGCATACAATAACACTGATTCAAATTCTCACAGTAGCAAGACTCCGGATCTCCAATATGTCTCCGGGGCCTGCCAAATCATCGCGACCTATTCGCCATCAAAGAACAATTGATTGAGCGAATACCAGGCTGAAAAAGCGCTTGGCAAAAAATAACATACCATTGAGCTCGATAGACGAGCGAAAAATGGAGTCGGAAATGACCGAGAAGATAAGAGCCTTTGAAGAAGATTCTAACTCCACAAACCCAGATATTGAAATGGGTGATGCGGTTATCGACCAATATATCATGGAGGGGCTTGAGAGCTCACGATGGAATGCCGACGAAGCCACTTCAACCACAGCCCCTCAGAACCCCATTCCGAGGACAAGTGGAAATAATCAAACTTCTTGCAGCGATGGCAACTCCAAGAACACTGCGACTTGTCCTCCCGAGCTTCGAGCCATACTTGAAGCCGAAGAACAGCGAGCGGCCCAGACCGCAACTAATCTCACAATATGCACCGCTGCTATCAATGGTGTGGAGAATGCGCTCTCACCTCTATCCAAGGGGTCAAGCGTTCAATTTATAGACTCCATGAAAGTCTACCTCCGAGCTGCAATAGCTCAATTCATGATGTCGGGACCAGGAACAGTCCTTCCCAACCTCCCCCCACGACCAAACTGCCAGAATCATGGCGGAAATATCGTGGAAATATCGATTCAAAAGCAGCCAGAGCAGCTACAAAAAGAGAACCAGGTGAGGATAACTTCGTTCAAGCCTACCTGGGCAATAGTTACCCGAACTGGCATCCACACGCCGGCAGCATCTGTGAAAGATGTGCGGGTCCACAACAAACCCTCGGCACCAACGAGACCTCCAGCAAAAGCTAAGTGTCGGTAAAAGGATTATACTTGGGCGTTATGAATTGTTCTATGTAATTGCGGTGTTAAGGATGTCGTTAGGACTTTGGCAGGGATCTGATTTAGCTCATTAGCGAGGCGCTTTGAGTAGAGGAAGAAAGGGCAGAGGGAGAGGAAAAGGAGAGAGAACGTTTTATGTATTTCGAGATACCAGTTAATTGACATTATTCACCGACTTCGTGACGGACAGCTGACTTCGTGACGGCACCCAATTTGTATTACTTCGTGTTTTACCAACACTAAGAAAACTGGCCCCAAAGATGATCGTTTGTTTCTTCGACTCGGAAAAGAACATGCTTGGCGGGTACTCTCGCCGGCCGGTGTCCGAGATGCGACAGCAAAATTACTCGAGCTACCCCCGCAGAATATTGAACATGTATACCGTGTTCCGACTGGCTTTGCACTCCGAGCCAAAAACCTGGAGGTACGACAGCTCATTCTGGACTCTGCTGAGTCTTTCGTCCAGGTAGACGCAATCCTGGAGAAGGCCTCAGATTTAGTGGCCCTTCGTATTGCGACAATTCCCGTCGCAATTCACACACTCCTAGGTAAAGTAGTTGTCACCGATGAGATGGTGGCTGAAGAAATCGCCAGGGTCACTTCAAAGGTTCCGGTAAGGGTCCGCCCTCATGGAAAAGGGAGAGTCGGAGCCCCATACCAGACATGGGTAGCTCATTTTGAAAAAGCGTCCGTGCCTAGACCAGGCTTCCGACTATTTGACGACTCGGGAAGCGCTGTTCGCCAACAGCCACGCCAAACTGTGAGCCAATGCAAGCAATATCTCTTATACCACGGGACCCAGAGTTGCTCGCGCGCCCCAATGTGCTGGAACTGCACCTCAACAATGCACTCCACTTCGGAATGCCAAGGACACACCAAGTGCCGCAACTGCGGGTGTCCTCACAGATCAGAGAGCCGAAACTGTCTGGCCCGCCCTAATAAGTCCGGAATGGCTTCTAGGGAAACCCTCGAAAAGATCAGGTACGCTAGCCAATGCAAATATGCCGCGGTGATCCGGGCGAAAACCGCCGTTCGACGAGCAGAGGCCGATATCAAAGCCGCCACTGAGATGGCCAAAACAGCTACGCCGAACTACAGCTCCAATAACAGCTACGAGTTTCTAATGACGGATGAGACGCCAAACGTGACTGAGATCACAGAGGCGGTCGTCCCGAAAAATCACTCATAAAGGGCGCTACACGGGCCCCTTTCCGCCTCCCTCCTACTCTAAGTTTCATATCAATAAACGTAGGTAGAGGAGGTCCAACACAGAATATTGCACTTGCCCGAGCATTCGAGCTGAATATTGACGTAGTCCTAATTCAAGAACCTCGGTGGAAAGAAGAGACAATGTCGCATCCTGGATACATTTGCCATTTACCTCATGGTGGTGAAAAGGTCAGGCCAAGGGCTGTGACCTACACCCGGAAAGATGATAGGACAATATCAGCGAGGCAACTCTTCCCCTTTGCTAAGCTGACGGGCGACTATTGCTGGGTGCTTGTTAATAGAGTCACCTTCCTCAACGTGTACAAGGCATCTAGAGACAAGTCAGCCATACAACCACTTGTCAACTAGACCCCGCCGCCGAACTAGGTCGCTGCGGGTGATTTCAATTCTGTATACTGCGCCTGGCAACCAGGAGTCACTCGCCTCTACGGACAAGGTAAAATGATTGAATGATGGGTAGAAGATCACAATCTAAGCAGCCTTATTGTTGGAGAACCCACGAATCAAGCTGGAAATACCTTGGACCTAATCTAGACAAACATCAACGGCAGCCGTGCATGGGTAGACTACGATGAATGTATCACCAGCGACCACCTTCCTATCCGAGGAATAATCCCGGTCCAGTCCGCAACATTGAGACCCAACTTGGGCAAGATTCGAGTGACGAAGGAAAGACTGCCTGACTTTGCACGAGCTGTAACTAAGTTGGTCCGTCTACTGCCAGTTTTAGATACAGTCGAAAAGGTCGAGGACTATGCCCAGGAACTTGACTTAAAGCTTAAGACTGCCATCAATGCAACAGGAACTCGACCCAGAGCAAACGGCGGTAAATCAGCCCCGTGGTGGACCCCGGCGTGCAAGGAAGCACGGGCTGAATATCGAGCGGCAGAATCACCCCTCCAACGTGCAGTGTATGCTAAAAAGCTCCGATCAGTCATCAGAGCTGCCAAAAAAGAACATCAAGCACAGCAGGTGGAAAGAATGAACACGCCGAACGATGTTTTTAAGCTGATGAGAATGGCTGGGCCTAGACAGACAAACATCCCACCACCCCTCAATCACAACGGAGCTCTCATCTCTGATACACTAGAGCGAGCCATAGTTCTCTGTGACTGTCTCCTGGCAAGACACCAAACATCGGACGACCTGCCGCCTTGCAT